GTTCATATAAAATTTTATTTTTATAACTATGTTATGATATGGATAATTTATTAATTTCGTTGATAGTTAATTAATGTTAAAAAAACTTGATCCACTAATTTTTATGAAGTCTTATTTTTTAATCACATTTTTTTTCATACACAAAATTTAAATATAAGATCTTATTAACTACTTGTGTTGGTATATATATGTAAAATTTGATTGCAATTGAAGTTGATTGATGAGAACATATTGATGAGGAGGGTTCATTTCATACAGTTAGTAATTTCTTTTTGTAATAGTTGATAGAAAGTCACTACAAGAAAACGCTGAATAAGAGGCGGAAAATAAAAATAGTGTCGGAAAAGTCGACGCTATTTTAAGATTTAGCGTCGGCTTTTCCAACGCTAAACTTAAAATAAATTTTAAGTTTAGCGTCGGAAAAGCCGATGCTATTATTTAAATATAGCGTCACTTAAAATAAATTTTAAGTTTAGCGTCGGAAAAGCCGATGCTATTATTTAAATATAGCGTCAGCTTTTCTGACGCTAAACTTAAAATATTTAATTTAAATTTATTTTAAGTTTAGCGTCGGAAAAGTCGACGCTATTCTTTAAATATAGCGTCGGCTTTTCTGACACTAATTTAATTTAAATTTAAATTAAGTTAGCGTCGGAAAAGCCGACGCTATATTTAAATCATATATGTGCTTTCAGAGAGATAAAAATAATTTTTCCAATGTTATATACGCATAATGTGTTCTAGTACACTTGGTTATCAAGTTCACTTAAGACTTCAAGGTTCACGGATCGAGTCCCAGGAATGTTAAAAATACGAACGAATAAATGATAAGCGAGAAAAAGAAGATAAAGAAAAAAATAAAATAAAATTTGTGTCAACATAGTGTCGGCTTAACCGACAATAAAAAATTAAAATAAATAAATTTGTCAGTGACGGCTTAGTCGACAAAAAAAAATTGTGTTGACTTATTTAGCGTCGGCCAAAAATCGACAATATTGCGTCGGTTTTTATGATTTAGCCGACTTTAAATTGAAACATTCTTGTAGTGAGTGCTGAATTTGTGTTAGGTAGGGTAAGTTTTGCTGTTTGAGACCAAAACCAGCACAGTTCCTAAATTTGTTTTTTATGCTACCATAGTTCATATATTAATTAGTGTAACCGACGCGCATACATGATTAATGAATAAGTAGAAGAAAATATATGCGAACCTTCTAAGATTATAAAACTTAATCAGAATAAATTTTATGTTTGCATATTTTAATTAGAACCTTAATTGTTAGTTTTTATTTAATAATTACAACTTGTTAATTATTTTATTCGTTAAAAAATATTTTATTTTGGAAGAATTTAATTCAATCTCTTATTATTTTAACAAGTTGTTAATCCGAGTAAAAAAAAAACAGACTCACTTTCCTTCTTAAAAAAGGTTCTAAGAATACCAAAATTTTATCTTCATACAAAACTGAATTTAATATTAAATCTTAACTTCAAACTTTAAGATATTAAGTTGAGTTATTCTTATTTATATATTATTTAATATACTTAATTTTATCTCGCACTTTTATATTACATCATTAATTTTTTTATTATTTCAATTTTATATATTTTATCTTAATTTTAAAACAATATGTCAATAATATTGGTTTATAATATTCTTCAAAGCTGGTTACTTCATTTTTTTTTTTTAATACTTTTTGTTCTGATGGCTTGTTAATTTGTTGCACCCTTCAAACATTTAATTTGTGGTGTTTATCTGTCAATAGTATCTGAGTGCAATCACTCGCTTCTCTAGTAAGTAAATATTAATTTTTTTTTGTTAACTCCGATGACCGAGTCTTGAAAGCATTCAATCATAAGTAATAAACAACAAAATCACTACAAAAAAAAATATGAACATAAGATACATTTTTGTCCATTGTTAATTTTATTCTAGGGTTTGTATTGTTACCGGAACTTCGTTCTCCATCAATTATAATATCTTTGAACAAAAATAATAGGTACATTTTCTTATGATTTTTATTACTATTTTAATTAAAATTGGCATTTCACTTCAATAATTCACCCGAATAGATATCAGCATCAATAGTCAATACTAGTTGTTGAATTAAAAAAGAATGCAAAAGGTATACCTATCCCTAAATTTTATCCAAAGAAACATTGATGATGACATAAAAGTTAATAACACCCAGAAAAGTTAAATAGCAAACGGTGCTATTGTCCGAGCAATCGGTGCTATGACATGGCAATCCAATCCTCAGTTGCTCCCCAATGTGATAAACTTGCTAGTATAAGCACTCATTGAAGTTGTTTTTTCCGTGAGCAACTTATGTTAAATTGTTTTTTATTTTATTTTATATTCTTTTTTCATGAAAGATATTTCCAATCGATTGTCAGAGATTAATTCTTTTTAAAAGTATAGAAATTTTATATTGAGAAAAAATTGTGATAACATGCTTAAAGAATCTAAATAGTGTGAATTTCAGCTTTTGTACTTTATGTTAAACTTGTTCTTAAAGCAGAAAAAATGACGTAGCATTATAAGCAAATGTAGAAAATTAAGTAAATAATTTTTAGCAACTCTTTTGGAGTTGCTTGATTGGAGTTCCATCCCTAAAGTACAAAAGTATAAATGCACGCATTTCTTCTCTTTATGTGAATGGCAAGTTTGCAGTACCAACTTAAGTTTCTGATGAGTACGTTTGTAGTACTACCTACCACTTTGATCATGATCAAACCCTGACATTTTCAAATTCAGATCAACACACTCTGGTAAGCCAAGAACTACACTATTAGCATTAACCAAAAGGGTATCAATTTTATTATTTTCTTGCCAAAGAATAAGTAGAAGCTTCAAATGAGGTTTAGATGGTTCTGTACAGTGGCCCTAGGCAATGAGGGTCAATCTATGATGAAGGAATTGAAGGTGCATGAAGAATCTAGAGCCAAATTAAGTCAATGGAATAAGCTAGATGAGGAATGAAAGTGAGAGTGTGAGAGAAAGAGAGAGAAGAATGATGGATTACGATTACTACAAATAAATGGAAGGTTGGTGGTGCCAACTTTATCTGGACTAGATTTTGAGTATAATCATGTATTATCCTTATGGTCATGATGGGTTGACTTTGTTGGGTATGAATTATGATCGTGGATCACGCAAGGCCACATTTATTTTACAAATCCAACTATTGGTTGAAAAAAAAAAAATGAAAGAATAAGAATGGCTTAATTAGACGTATAGTGTGTGCAAGTAATCATGACATATGTGGGTCAAATACTAGATAACTAAGTAGCTTTTGTTGTAGTCATCAAACTCACATGACTCACACAGCATTATTTAGTTGCCAAGCCTCTTATATGGATCAAAAAAATAGATTACTGTGCTTAATGATAATCCAGTGCATAATTTTCTCCCTAATTGCTTTCTGATCAAGTTTAATCATGTGTGTAATTTTATCTACACATTGGTTTTGCACAAGTTGATAAGGCTTCTTTAGTGGAGGAATAGTACTCATTGACATACCCCCCACATGGGTCTGCATCACATTTTGTGGGGAACCCAAAAACTTTGCATTATTCTCATGAATTGCTCTTATAGTAAACAAGCCATGTCAATCTACATGCAAAGATCAATCATCTACGGTTAAGATTCTCTGCTGAAGCTTCTAATCCAATGATTGATACCACCCTGCCTGCCCAATTCTGATAAAAGTTTGCAGCAAAACCTTTTGTCCAAAGCTTCATGTGTGTTAGTGTTAGGGACCCTTCAAATTGTAGCACCATGAACTGTAAAGTGTAAAGCTATCTATACCTTAAAATTCCTTCCTGTATTTTGGTAAAACCAGTAGTTATGTGTAACTGATGTAGCATAACAACTCAGCAATAGTAAACCCAAAGTTTGAGTGTAAAAAGACTCCTCAAGAGACTTTTTGTACAATTAGGCAGCTTTGTCGGCAAGTTGGCCATATATAGACCCCACCTTTGATTAATGGGTAGAGAAATGTTGATGCACATAGTTGCCCTCTTAAAAGCCAAAATGCACCCACAAACCTTTTGTGACAAACTTCTTTTGTGTGAACTCAAATAAATAACTAAATAAATAAATATATATATATATATATCAAATTTTAACGATTTAATTGATAAATTAAAAATTTTTAATGTATAAATTAATTTTGTAAAATTTTAAAAAAATTAAAAATTATTTTATATTCTATTTTTTTAGTTCAAATTAACAGATAATCATAAAAATATTTTATATATTAATTTTAATTAATAAAACGAAATATCAAATAATTTTTAAATTTTTTTAAAATTTGTAAATTTTAATTATATATTAAAAACTATTAAATCAACTGTTAGATCTTGAAATTTGTTATAAAATGAGTTATCAATTAAAATAAATTTAAGTATACTTATTTTTACAGTAAATGAATTACTTTTATATATATATATA